CAGTCCCATCAGATTTGCCCTCATCCACTCAATAGAAACTTCTCTTCTTAAGGTAACAAGTGACCTCCACATCTCTAAATCTGAATTTAGATTCTCAAATCTCATTTGAGTCCTCATCATTCTTGGCCATCAGCAGCTCACCACTCCTTCTGACACACTGTCTTCACTTGGCTTCTTAGACACCACCCTATCCTGGTTTCCCTTCTAAACACTGACTGCTCCTTCTCAGTCTTCTTTGCCAGTCCTCCTCTTCTCCTTGACCTCAAAATGTTGGAGTATCCGCGGGCTCAAGCCTTAAATGATCTCATCTAGTCTCCTGGCTTTAGATACCATCTCCGTGCTAATGTCTCCCAAATTACATCTCCAGCCCTGACCTGTCCCCTGAACTCAGACTTATGTCATAGCCAACTCCCTACCTCCAGTTAGATGTCAAATAGGTGTCACACAACTGTACTCCTTAAGTCTCCACCCACCCTCCAAAAAACAAAGAAAAGCAACCTGCTTCTTCCACAGTTTTTTCCATCTGACTTAATGGTACTTCCATCTACCCAGTTACTCAGGTGAGAAACTTTGGAGTCATCCTAGACTCTCTCTCATGTGCTCAGCCAATCCTATAGACTCTGTCTTCACAGTGTATCCAGAATCTGACCACTGCTTACCACCCCACTGCTAGTGTCCCAGTCCAAGCTACCATCCTTTCCTTGCCCAGATTATTATAATAATCTCCTAACCAGTCTCCATCCTTCTCTCTTTCCCCCATCCTTAGTCTTAACACAGCAGCCAAAGTGATCCTGTAAAATTTAAATCACATTTAAATCCTGTAAAATTTAAATCACTCTTCCATTTGGAACCCCCCCTCCACTCCCCATCTCACTCAGTAAAAGCCAAAACACTTACAATGGCCTACCAGCCTTACTTGATCCAGTCACCATTTACTTTTCAGATGTCTTCTCCTGTCACACTCTCTTTAGTTCATTACATTCCCACCACATTGGCCTCCTGTTGCTGTCTCCAACACCCCAGGCGTAATGCTGCCTCAGGGCCTTTGCAGAGGCCTTGATGACTCACTTCCTCACATCCTTCACATCTTTATCCAGAGGTCATCTTCTTGATGAGTCTTTCCTGACCACTGGAATAAAAATGTTAGCATTCTCCAGACTACCTTTATCTTTTCCCTGCCTTTTAATATTTGGTATTATTTACTTATTTTTCTTTATTTGTCTGCTCCTTCCCCGCAAATAGAATTGCAGCTCTGTGGGAACAGACTTTTATCTCTCTGGTTCACTGCTGTATCCTCAGTGCCTGGCACATAGTAGGCACTCAAAAAATATTTGAATAAGTGGAAAGTCTTCAGAGGAGATAATGACAGCTACTGGGAGTACAAAAAGTTTGCTAGGGAATGCAGTTGGTATGAATAGGGATAAATGATGCTTCTAATACTAGGAAAGTTGTCATTAAGGTCCATGTATGTCATCCTAAGGAGCTTGGATTTCATCCAATAGGTGACAGGAAGTCAGCAAAGGACTCAGTTGTCCAAACCGAAATTTGGGAAATGCATTCTGGCTGTAGTGTGAAGGATGAATTGGAAAGAACAAGAGCGGGTCCAGGAGGACAGTAAGAGACTGCTGCAGTAGTCCGTGTGTGGGATGGCCATGATGGTAGCCTGACCCAAGGGATGGCAGTTGGGGATGCAGAGGAAGGGATGGATCTGAGAAAGACTATATTTAGAAGATAAAATTGATTGGACTTGATGACTGATTGGCTAGGGCAGTAAGAGTGAGCAGATGAAGGAACCCCAAGTTCCTGGCTTATGGCAGCTGATGGAACTGCAGGGCGATTTACTGAGATAATAAATACAGAAAGAAAAATAAATGTGTTACAGTCGAGGAGAAAGGCAACAATGAATACTATGTGTGTTGAACTTTGAGTACCTACCTGTGTGCTATCCAGGTGAAGATGTCCAGTAGGCAACTGGGTGCTTGGTTTTGGATCTCAGGGGGAAAGTCAGAGCCAAAGACAAAGATTTGGGAATCATTTGCCTCTGAACAGTGTTTAAAACCATGGCTATGATAGAATTTCCTAGAAAAGTTGTATAAATTCAGGAAGACAGAAATTACTGGGTTTTAGTACCAAATATAGTCCAAAAAAATCCAATAAGAAAATGTCTTAAACATTGGGCAGTTAGGAGGCCCTGACTATATTTCATTTATTCAAATATTTATTGAATATTTACTATGTGTTAAAGATATGAGGATACAGTGATGAACCAAACAGGTAAAAACCTCTTTTTCTATCAAGCTGAAATTATAGTCAGGTGAGGAGCAGACAAATAAAGAAAATAAATAGGTAAATTATACCAAATATTAAAAGCCGGGGAGTGCTCTGAAGAAAAGAAAAGGCAGGGAAAAGATACAGGCCTGTCCAGAATAAGTAAGCAGAGTCATGGAGATGGATGCCAGGTCACAGTGAGTAGAGCAGTGAGTGGAAGGGAGGAAGTGGAGTCAGCCAGAGTAGACAGCCATTCAAGAAGTGCAGATGAGTAGGGGAAGAGATGTCCATAAACAGATAACTGGATAAACACATTGTTCTGTGGCCACACATGGAATACTACTCAGCAATAAAAAGGAAGAAAATGTTGCTGAACACAACAACACAGATGAATGTCAAAGGCATGACAGCAAGTGAAAGAATCCAGTCTCAAAAACTGACATGCTGTGCGCTTCCATTTGTATGACAGTCTCAAAAGGTGAAACTATAGGGACAGAAAACATATCAGTGGTTGCCCAGGGCTGGGAGACCTTGACTACAAAGGGGCAGCACATGAGAATTCTGGGGGCTGATGTCCTGATGTTCTGTGTCCTGATTGTAATGATGGTCACACAAATCTGTATACATGTGTTAAAACTCCTAGAACTCTACACCAAAACAAGGTAATTTTCTATATATTAATTTGGCAATGAGAGACTGGGTAGTATCTGAAGGGCAAAGTTAAGACTGGAGGAAACAGTTGTTTCCTCTTTGGGAGGGACTTGAGTCATTCATGTGCTCAGGAAGAAAGTCAGGTCTCCTGGGAATGGTGCCCAAGAGGAGTTCAAAGGTGTGAGATCCAGGGCACTGGTGGGAAGAAAAGATATTTATACAAAGAAGCAAAAGTTGAGGCCTTATATAATCTCTTTTCCCTATGAACTAGAGGCAAGATCAACTGCCCAGAGTGGAGGAAATGGAAGTGAGGTACAAGGCATCAGGGGTATGGTAAGATTTGGCAGAGCCTCCCAGAAGAAATGGGAAGGATGCTTTGAAGGCTTGCTTTGCAATATGAGGGCCCAGCTAAGGTTTGAGACTTCGAAGCTTCAGCAACACCGATCTACCCTTTTGTGGATTCATCTTCAGCAGCATGGAGCAGAGAAGGAGTTTGAAGGGGGAAGGGTGGAGACCAACTGAAGGACAAGGGGCAAGGATTTGGAGAGCAGGCACAAAAAAAAAGCAGCAGGGATGGAAAAGGAGGATCATGAGGCCAGGGGCTGGTGGTGACCTCAGAGATAAAGGAGAGGGAGGGGACTAGAGAGGTTAATAATCTGAATGACTATGAATAAGAGGAATCAGGGAGTGGGAGGGCTGGATGGAGGACACCATGGTCTGAGCTGTTCTGAAGTGTAAAATTGCAGAATTGGATGTGGAGGACAAATAGGTTAGGTAAGAGATTTGGAATATTTAGAATACTTTCTCCAAAATGGTAACAGCAATGCTAGCTGATATGGATCCTTCCTATGTACTGGATGTCTCATTTAATTCTCACAACAGTCCCATGAAGCAGGTACTGTTCCTGTTTTCTAAATGAGGAAACTGAGGCTCAAGAAGGTTAGGTAAATTTCCCAGGGCCATGTGGCCAGTAAGTGATGCAGCCAAGTCCAGAACCCCACCTGTCTGATTCCAGAGTTTGTGCTCTGTTAGACTACACCACCTCTCCCATGTGGAAAATCTTGATTCCATTGCAATAGCATGCTATACTAGCTTCAACTGGACATTTCAGAAACAAGCGAAAGTATGTGCATAGCTTAGTGTAAACCCAACACCATTTCTGCAAGCCACCTATAAGGTGCTGTCCCCATCATAGTAGTTGAGAGGCGTCAATTTTGTCTATAGATGGTATATTGAAACGTCCTGTCACCTGATCATAAAATTGTTTTTCTGAAGGACCAAAAAATGTTACTTTCAGAGATGGAGCTTTTTGGGGATCAGTCAGGATAGTTCTGGCAGTGGTGGTGAAGTCCATGAGGTGGCTGGGTAAAAGTGTGGGTGGCCAAAAACTCTAAAAGTGAGGCTGACTGAAGTCAATGTGCAGAAATGGGGTATGGGATGGGCTGTTTTTATAAATACCCAAGTTCCCAAAGATTGGTGAGTCTGGAAGAGGGGGAGCCACCAGGTGTCACAGTCTCCAGTGAATGGCCAAGAGATCAGTAAATGAGAACAGCAACAGGAGTGTGTTCAGTGACAAGAGCCCCAACTGAGAGCTTTTGTCATGAGACTGAAGGAGTCAGGGTCTGGGAATAGCAAGGAGCTAGAAGAAGCCACCATCACTCTGCTCCCCACCCTAGGACAGCTGTGATGTGGGGAAATGAGCAGCCCCCACTTGAGAGCTTCACAGGGGAGGCATCAGTTCAGACAACTGGGGGGTACTTTAAAAAGGTTAAAGGCATGGGAATGTGTTAATCATAGGTTGGGAAGCAATGTTAAACATGCAGGTGAGTCTATCTCAAATGGCTGCTTTCTTCCAAGCAAGTAAGCCACATAAATATGTGTATGAGATGTCGTGACTTTACTGCATGTTAATACTCATTCTGAATCCATAGAGCAGGAACAGCCCTGTAGCAGCCATTCTTTGACATCATCAGCCAGGAGCATAGCAACCAGATCCCAGACTTAAGACCCTGGCTACTTTGACTAGAACATTTATTTCCCAGTAACTAAATCACCTCATACCACCTTCTATTTCCTGCCAGGCTCAGAGCTCCTACCTTCCCCACTGTGGAGGAGTAGATGTCCATTTCTCAGGAGCAGTGGACTGCTTTCGGCAGATAGTGAGGACCCAAGGAGTACTGGGGCTCTGGAATGGATTGACAGCCAACTTACTGAAGGTGAGAGGAGTGCTCAGTCTCTCCTGCTTCTCTACATCTTCCAATTCTATCCTATCCCTTCACCACTCCTCCTACAGTTTGCATAGTTAGGCCCCCTCTAGCACTGATGGTAGCACAAGGCCCAGGAATGCAGACTGGCAGTCAGCCCTGAAGAGAGGGGACCCTGTGCAGAGTTGGAGCATCTGATACCCCCTCTCAGAGCTGCTGAGCATTTAGTGTCGAGGTCGCTAACATGGGAATTCATGACATCTAAGAAGAACCCTAAACCCTCATCCTAAAATTGTATGCAATGATGTGTACGTATATGTATATGTCCTTCTCTCTGGGGAGAGGATCCATAGCTTTCATCATATTCCCAAAGAACTCCATGATCAGAAAATAAGGTTAAGAACTCTGGACCAATCTTGTACTGCTTGACACATAAATGATTCCAATCAAGACAAGTATACGTCAACAGGCAGTATCAGATTGTCTACATGCATATTAAGCCAAACCCATGCTTCTCTAGGGCATGTCCTTCAACAGCTCTGCCATTTCTCTTCCCCCACGACATGCTGTGCCAGCTTTCATTTAACCATCTTCCTATGATTCCAAAAAGAATTATGTTGTATTGTCCAGCCTTTATCTCAGTTTACCCTGATCCAGGTTGACTGCAGAGGCATTGGTATTTTCTTTTTAAGATTTTAACATGATTTTCATTTTCTTTTTAAACAGATAGTTCCATATTTTGGAGTTATGTTTGGTACCTTTGAATTCTGCAAGAGAGTCTGTCTTTACCAAAATGGTTACACTGTGTCTCCTCTGAGCTATAACTTGACCCCAGGAGTGGATCAGAGTTTGAAGCCCCAGGAATTACGCGAATTAAAAAAGTTCAAAACTGGAAAACTAAAGTCTAAAAAACCAACTGTTTAAATGGAACTGGAAGTGCACAGACTGAAGGTGTGTTGCAGTCACAGATAAACGTAGCCTCCTAATTGTGCATGTGTGGAGTAACGAGAAGGTACTCCTGTCTGCTGCTATTGGAAATGAGAAGATTCAGCCATACACCACCTCTGAGCTTCAAACTGATGTCCCTGTGAACACATGCCCCACAAGATTTCCCAACATGACCATCTCATAACTGACATAACACCAGATTTTACAACAAAACCTAGCAGTAATGAAATGTACAGTTTACACCCTGAATGCAAACCCGCAGTTGACGTGACACCAGAGAAAGGGCATTGCCATGACACCTCAAAGCAGCCTGTAGTTGAAGTGGCTGAGCAGATAGCATGGCGTGAGCTCTGCCACAGGGTAACAGCTTGCACTAACCCACATCAGTCTCATTTTGTTCAGTTTGACCTGAGACTTCCCAATACAGTCGATCTGGAACTCGTAATCTTTGCTGACTTCTGAATGTACATACAACAGTGTAAATTATGCCTTATTAGAAACTAAATGAAAACATGTAACATTTAAAAGTTACCAGGATCATAGTAGAACCATCCTTCTTTATTTAAATTTTAAGCATGCCAGGATTAGGTATTTCAGGAATCTCATATTTCAGGGAAGTGATTTTGACCATGACTGCATGCCCCAAAAGACCTTATTCCATTTGAAATCATGTACAGTTCAAGTAGCCTGAATTCATGCCTTTTTAAATTGCTTTGCAAACCTACCCTGAAAATCAATCACCTAGTCAACTTAAGTTATTCCCACAAGATGTCCCAGTTGACTAGAAAGAATCAAATAGGACCTTTGACACACCTACCAAAAAAAAATGTAACTGAACAAAAACATTTCAGACTCATCTCTACTAGGTTTTTTAAAAGTCAGATTTTGGACTATTTCACCTTGGGAACTCTGTGTCAAGTTTATATAACTACTTTCAGATGGTGCCTATCTGTGCATTAAAAAACTATCTTCTATTAAGTTGTTAATTTATATATACACACATAGATACTTTCAGTATGTTGAAAGTACTTTACCCTATTAAATCTAATTTCCAAAGAAAAATGTTATGTTACTCTTTCATTACAAATCTGATTTATAAAATTATGGTTAAATAATCAAAACCGAAAGTTTCTGTGATATGACTGCCCTTGCACTGTTCACCATGTAAGAACTTGTTCGTTATTCTTCAGAAGATTGGAGACTGTTGAGAATTAGGCTTGGGGTTGATTAATGATTGTGCATTGAGTCCCCTATACAGAATTCTATTGTTGTTAACAACCATTTGATCAATAAATATGAGAGATGCCCTCTCAAAAAAAAAAAGAATGTGCATCAATATGTTACCTCTGGTGAAGAAACTGGACTTAGAAGAACTTTTACTTCCTATGCTATACATTTCTGTAATTATGACTTTAATAGCATGTATTACTTTTAGTATTAAAAATTAAATAAAAATATATTTAAAAAAGAAAAAAAACTATGGTTAAATATATACTGGCCAAAATCTTTAAACTCTCAGAGATTTATCCTATTAAAATATACCAAAATAACTCATTTTTCCAACTGCTATGGCAGACTGTTTTACAGACAATATCATTCAACACACATGTGAAAATCTAATCTGTAGTCCAATCTGTTAGCATTTGTAGGGTCACAGATTGTTACCCAGAGTGCATAGTTCATGGCTGTTACTCTAGTTTCCCTGAGGTTAACAACTTTTTGTAAAAGTTCTGAAAACTGCAAAAAATATATTTTTTTTTTTACTAAATCTAAAATCCTAACCTCAGGTTACTTACATCATATTAATATCTCCTGAATATCTTCTGCAAGTGTTGTGAGATAGATAGCTAAGCTCTTGCTACTGCCACACACACGAATGTTTTCTGAACTCCAGTTGGATTATTTTTTTCAATAAAGTAAGTGGAAAAAAGGATATGCCTCACTTTTCTTATTTCACAACTCTTTAAAACTCTAGTTTTGTTCCTAAAATAAACCTCTGGCTATTTTCATTTTCTCAGAGGTATGAAGGTATCAAGGGGGTATTCTGTTTTTCTGCTTCATGATTGGCAGTGTGCACCAAACCAGACAAAGTAGCTGAGGAAGATGATAAAGTGTGATGTGGAATTGATCCAGGAGAAATCTACAGATAAACATACCTGCATATGTGAAATGACTATGATTACAAAACAGATATAAGCAAAGGCATGATACTGTTGTAACAGTTTTACAATACTGCCAAGGGGCCCTGTATATACTTACTGAATGATTTTAAAGGGCTCATCAAAGATGAGAGGGGTTAGCAATGAGCAGGGGTTTGGAGAGGTATTATGTCTTGAACTAAGTCTTGGAGGAAGTGAAAGGATATTACTTGGTCAAGAATAGGTTGAAGGTGGGCCATATGCAGTGTCACACAGATGGAAGCAAATGAAAAGAGTTTGGGTTAGAGTAAGAGGACTGGCTTCATGCATTTATTGGACAGCTACTGGGCACACTGGTATATAAGGCAAATAAGATCCTTGCCCACATCGAGCTTACATTCTAGTGAGGGTGGCAGTCAATCAAAAAGTAAACACATCAGCAAGTTAGGTAATTCCAGATTGTAATGTTATAAGAAGAATAAAAAGGGTGCTTTATTAGAGAATCTTGTGGGGGTGAGGGATATATTTTAAATCAGGGAGCCAGGGAGAGCCACATTTGAGAGGTGACATTTGAATGAGACCTGGAAGATGACAATGAGCCAACCACGCAAGACCTAGGGAGAAATGCATTCCTGACTGAGGGAACAAAATGTACAAAAGGGGTACTGGTAGTGAGAAAAGATTTGGTGAACAGCACAGAAGTGAGCATAGTCAGAGTGTGGTGAGTGAGTGAGAGAGTGTAGAGATGAGGTTGGATAGAGGGCCAGAGCATATGTGGCTGTTTCAGGCTGTAGTAAGAAGTTAGATTTTATTCCAAATGCAGCGGGAAGTCACTGAAGCTTTTTATGCACAGAAGCAATATCTGATTCTCATTTTCTGACACATTTTATCATTTTTTTAGGAATAATTCCAAATGGGTTATGAAGAAAACTTAGTGAGTTTGATGAGTTTTCCAAAAACTCTTAATGAAGATATGTTCACCAATAAACAATAAAACAGCGGTACTATCATATACTGGGCAAAAAGGCTGATACCAAAAGCAACATGCAATATAAAAAAGATACAATATAAAGGAAGACAATCTGCTGGGTATTAAAAATCATCTCAATATTAACTTCGCAACCAGCACAGAACTACTTAGCTATCAAACCCAAACCACACCAAGGTAAACTTGGCTGACGAGTCAATAATGGGGGGAAAAAATAAGTTCCTCAGTGCAAGAGATCTCAAAATAGTGTTTTGGAGCATTTTCCCTGGATGGTACAAGGAGTATTAGAAAACCTTTTTTGGAAGGGAGAAAAAAATACAAATGGAATGCTACATTTTTTTAATCAGCAGACTGTCCCAGGAATGATAAAGGTATCAGTAAAGTAGCAAAGGGTAACTAAAACATTATTTTGTGGGATCAAAAAACATTGAAAATGGATTTATTTAAAGGTATCACAATAGCTATGTGCAGGCATTTATGCTTGAGGGAAGTAAAATTAAAGGAGGACACTTTTCCCAAGTTAAGGAAAAATTCTGTAAAACCGAGCATATTGCTCAATAGCAACATTATACTTGATAAACAATAATTGGCAGTAAAGTAAGTTTAAACCAGTCCCAGATATTGTTTAATAACAAATATGCGAATTAACTTTGTTGTAACAAGCCTAGACCAATTCATCAAACATGTCCTTGCTGTTTCATTAACGTTTTGAAAGCACATTTGACAGCCAGTCAAGTCCCTCATACAGACCAGTTCCTTGTGTAACACAAGTGGCTTGAACACACCATGTTCTGTTATGAAGAGACTGAAGACCTAATTTGTCTGTCATTTCACTGACGGTCATAGCATTTGGCAAATCCTGTTTGTTTGTAAAAAGCAGCAACACTGCATCTTGCAACTCATCTTCCTGAAGCATTTTCCACAGCTTCTCTGCTCCTTCCTGAATTCTTTCACGATCATTGCTATATACCACAAAAATAAGACCCTGGGTATTTTGGAAGTAATGCGTCCAGAGAGGCCTAATTTTATCTTGACTACCAACATCCCATACTGTGAAACAAACGTTCTTATATTCTACTGTTTCCACATTAAAACCAGTGGTAGGAATGATGGTGACTATCTCCCCAACTTCAGTTTGTACAGAATGGTCATCTTGCCAGGAGCATCCAATCCAACCATCAAAATGCACATCTGCTTCTTGCCAAAGAGGCAGGAGAGGAGGAAGGAGATGGTGAGGCCCATGGTGGTGGTGGCACTTGTGAAAGGCGGGAGGACAAGGGGCTTGGGGCGTCCTCAGGCTCCTTTCACGCTCCCAGCAAACTCAGCTGGAGGGGAGAGGAGCTGAGGAAGAAAAGATGGCACTGACGGCTCATTGGCCGGCGTGTCCGACGAAGCTCTAGACAGGAATCAGGGGAGTGAGGACCTGCTCCATGACTGGCGAGGCAGCTCTGGCTGATTCTCATTTTTAAAATATCCCTCCAGTTTCTGTGTGGATAACAGATTGGAGGAAAGCAAGGCTCTGAGTGGGAAGACCAGTTAAGATACTATTACAAAACTGGACAGCTACATGTAAGAGAATGAAACTGGATCATTGTCTAACCCCATACACAAAAGTAAACTTGAAATGGATCAAAGACCTGAATGTAAGTCATGAAAGCATAAAACTCTTAGAAAAAAACATAGGCAAAAATCTCTTGGACATAAAAATGAGCGACTTCTTCATGAACATATCTCCCCGGGCAAGGAAAACAAAAGCAAAAATGAACAAATGGGACTATATCAAACTGAAAAGCTTCTGTACAGCAAAGGATACCATCACTAGAACAAAAAGGCATCCTACAGTATGTGAGAATATATTCATAAATGACAAATCCAATAAAGGGTTGACATCCAAAATATATAAAGAGTTCACGCACCTTAACAAATAAAAAGTGAAAAATTCAATTAAAAAATGGGCAGAGGAGCTGAACAGACACTTCTCCAAAGAAGAAATTCAGATGGCCAACAGACACATGAAAAGATGCTCCACATCGCTAATGATTAGAGAAATGCAAACTAAAACCACAATGAGATATCACCTCACACCAGTAAGGATCACCACCAACCAAAAGACAAACAACAACAAATGTTGGTGAGGATGTGGAGAAAGGGGAACCCTCCTACACTGCTGATGGGAATGGAAATTAGTTTAGCCATTGTGGAAAGCAGTATGGAGGTTCCTCAAAAAACTAAAAATAGAAATACTTCACCCAGGAATTTCACTCCTAGGAATTTACACTAAGAATGCAGGATCCCAGATTCAAAAAGACATACTCACCCCTACGTTTATCACAGCACTATTTACAATAGCCAAGATATGGAAGCAACCTAAGTGTCCATCAATAGATGAATGGATAAAGAAGAGGTAGTACATATACACAATAGAATATTATTCAGCCATAAAAAGACAACAAATCCTACCATTTCCAACAATATGGATGGAGCTGGAGGGTATTATGCTAAGTGAAACAAGCCAGGAGGAGAAAGACAAATGCCGAATGATTTCCCTCATTTGTGGAGAATAACAGCAAAGCAAAACTGAAGGAACAAAACAGCAGCAGACTCATAGACTCCAAGAAGGGACTAGTGGTTACCACAGAGAAGGGGGTAGGGAGGGTGTATGGAGGGAGGGTAAAGGGGATTAAGGGGCATTATAATTAGCACTCACAATATAAATAAGTCACGGGGAAGGCAGTATAGCACGGAGAAGACAAGTAGTGACTCTATAGCATCTTACTATGCTGATGGACAGTGACTGAAATTGAGTGTGGGGGGATTTGATAATATGGGTGAATGTAATAACCACAATGTTGCTCATGTGAAACCTTCATAAGATTGTGTATCAATGATATCTTAATTTTAAAAAAAAGATACTATTACAAAGTCCAAGTAAGAAATAATCACTTGGACTAGACTGGTGGCAATTAAGATGGAGAGGAGGGAATGAGTGCAAGACATATTTTGGAGTTGGATTCAGCAGGATTTGCTGAGCGATTGGATGTAGAGAATAAAAGGAATCAAGGCTGACACCTAGGTTTTAGGCTTTTGACTTGATTAACAAGGTAGACAATGTTGCCATTTGCTCTTATGGGGAAGCCTGCCAATGGCCAGAGTTTTGATGGGGAAGAAATTAGAAGTTCTCTCTTGGACACGTTAAATTTAACATCCAAGTAGAGAAATCAAGCAGACAATTGGCTGGAGCACAGAGTGTCTGTGTAATTGTCCAAACCAGTTGTGGTAGACAGAATAATGGCCACCCCCAAAAGTATCCACACCATAATCCCTAGGACCTATGAATATTTACCTTACATGGCAAAAGGGACTTTGCAGATGTGATTAAAGTTAAGGACACTGAGATGGGGAGATTATCATGGTTTATCTGGATTGGCCCAATCTAATCCCAAATCATTAAAAGTGGAAGAGGAAGACGAAAGAGTGGTTCAGAGAGACTCAAGGATGGAACAAGAAGCAGAAGAAATAGGGGGTGAGAACTTGACTCACTGTTGCCGGCTTTGAAGACAAAGGCGTACAGGAGCCAAAGAATGAGGGTGGCCTCTTGAAGCTGAGAATAACCCTCAGCTGAAGGAAGGAAGCCAGCAAGGAAACAGGGACTTCAATCCTACAGTTGAGTTCAGCCAACGACCTGAATGAGCCAGGAAATGGACTTACCCCTAGAGCCTCCAGAAAGGGATGCAGTCCTGCTAGGCACTTTGATTTTAGCCCCATAAGCCCCGTGTCAGACTTCTGACCTACACAACTATAAGATAA